GGGGGGGGGGGGGGGGGGGGGGGGGAACAAAGATTGACTGACAACCTATATTACACAACCAAGACAAGTATATTATGGTCCTGGGGTTTCAAGCATAAGTCCCAAGAGGTGTCCCTACCTCGGGATGAACAATGCCAAACGTGCCAATTTTCCTTCCTTTATAAATGATGTGGGCTTGTCTACCGGTAAGAAACTCCGGATTCTGCAGGACATATAAACAAAACCCATGCCAAGAAACAGAGTCAATTCTAAGTTTCTTATTTGTATCCTACTGTGCAATAAAGCATATGCACGGAATAGTCCACTTACATCTGAACACTTTATGTAATACCCAGTTTCATCACCAACTGTAACAAAAGAAGCTCCTATGACTTCCATTATTCTGTCTACCAAACCATGAATCAACTGAAACATCAAAAGAAAAAAAAATGATGAAAAATAGAAATGGTACCATGAATTACCACTTGAAAAAATGGCCACAAAAAAATGCATAAAACAAAAGAAAAGAAGATGATTTATGCGAACATTTGTTTCTCTAGAAATCAATGTATTATGTATCACATAGAAAATGCACTATATTCGAGCAAGCAAAAAGGGAAACTTAATGAATTATTCTTGTAAAGTTCTATTCGTTTTATAATATATTCACCAACTTTTTGCACTGACATAAAACAATAGGTCTAAATGTTATCTAATAATAGTAAATAAAAAAAAAATCGACTTCAATTTAGATTCTTACCTCAAATCCAGAATTGGCACTGCAATATAGAGCAGCAAGATGACGATGATTTCTTGCACCGACATCTTTTGCATCATCCAGTAATGATACATCACCAACTTCAAATATCTAGAACAAAAAAGTTGACAGACAATTTAACTTCTAAGCTTTTTTTAAGTTAACCTTAAAACAAACAAGCCTTCAAAAAATAAATTCACAGGCAACATCAAAATGCAATAACTATCATGTAAACTTCATACACTCTTAACCTAGTACAATCTCCACTTGTAAACTTCAGAATATGCATACACTTAAAAGTGCGTGTGTAATTAATGCCACATGTCTGTACCAATATTTTAATCACAAATGATCACAGTTTCAAAGATTTGCACCTTCATGTCGTTAAAAAAAAAAAAAAAAAAAAAAAAAAAAAAAAAAAAAAAAAAAAAAAAAAAAAAAAAAAAAAAAAAAAAAA